GGAGCATACTATCAACCCTGCATCGGACCCGCCAGGAGCTGCACCATGCTCGCTCTCGCTGGCGTCTGCCGGGAGCCGTGCAGCGCCGAACGCTGTCGGCCGTGCGCCAGCCGGCGGCCGCCGCGGCGGGCCGGCCACTGACCCCGCTCCCGGCGCCCGGTCTCTGCCCGGACGGCCGCCTCCTCTCCCCGCCGCCGTCCACAACAGTGCCCCGCACGCGACGAGAGCAGGGGAGCGTGGTGACTCGTGCGACGGCAGCGGAACCGGCGGCCGTGAGCGGACAGCGGGCACGGGCTGCACGTGACCGGCGACCCCACGCCCCTCGGCGGTGAGCGCGGGATCGGCCGGCCTCGCAACGTGCCCAGCTGGGTGTACCGTCGCCGAGTGAGCCGACATCCCTGCCGCAGCGGCCCCATGCAGGAGCACTGTCGGCCGGCGGGCGCGGGCGGCTGGTGCCGGCCGCCCTGGCAGCGTTTACCGGCGGCGGCTCGGCGCGCACTGCCGCAGCTCGACTGCGAACGACGCTGGCGGCACGCGCTGCTGGCCACCACCGTCCTGCTGCTTGGCCACCGCCTGCCAGCTGCTGGCCCTGGTACAGCGCGACGGCGTCCTCCGCTGGTACGTGTTCTGTAGCGGCGCACTGACGGCGACCAGAGCAGCTGATGAGGGGCGGCTGCTGCTCTTTGCTGTAGTTGTCGGAATGACTGTCGTGCCCAGGCGGCTCTGCAGGCGGGGCTGCGGCCATTGCGTAGGTCGTCGTCGGCCAATGCCCTGTACGTGGATCGATACTGAAGTCTTCAATACGCTTGAAGTATGGTGACTTCAACTGTTAGGGTGCGTTTGGTCAAAGGTTATCCATTTTTAAACGGAATGCACTATGCGTATTTCGACACATTATGCACTGATTTCCTCGCCAACTAATGCCTATGAGAGCGGCCGCAACGACATCGACATTGAGGACGACAGTACTTATTTTATTTCAACGCCCCGCTATTGTTGCATCGTCCCATCAAATATATCGTCTGCTTAACACGATGAGGCCTGTGACCGGCGGGCCCACAAAAATCGACGCTTGCCCCCAGCCTACGGCTTTTCTCGATACACCAGACCTCATCCACTATCCCCAGGCCACCAGCGACCGTAGCGACTTCGCCGCCGGAGACGAAACTAGCCACGGAACGTACACCGCCAACGTAACCTAAGGCTGGCCCAGGCCGCGCCGAGGAACCTACCGAACATATGTGACGCACAAAGTGACGATATTTATATTGATCATCATGACTGTGTTCTAGATAGCCTCCGCGATACATGGTATGAATAATTTTCAACGTCATTTATTCGAATTGAAGTTACCTTCTGGTCATGCGTTACCACCTCTCTCAGGGGCGCAACCCCACGAATTCATGCGGCATGGACATATTCAATGCGTCAGTTGCAGTGCCTGCGCAGATGTTGTCCTCGAGATGCCGGAGTTCTACCGCGTAATAAGGGTATCATCAGTCTGGGCCTCTAGGCCTAAGCAATCGTTTCGGGTGATGTATGTGCCTGATCACGCCGTGCCTCTAGATACACGGCATCAATCGGCTATCGTCTGCCGTCTGTGTGGGCATTGATGATTAGTGGCACACGATACTATTGCTTCGTTTACGGCAATACCTTCTATTCGCTCGCGTTTTGCCGCTCAGTAGAACCCAGCCTGATTTTGTTCAACGTGGAGAATTCAAACGGAACTACGACACGCCAGACACGCCAGCTGACTATCTCTTTCTGATACTCCTGTCCATTAAACGTTTCGGTGGCAACCGGCAGCGACCTATGCTGAATACCCGCAAAACAGAAAATTGCGGTAAACGAGAGCTCTTCGTCTTAGCTTTACCAAAGCAACATCCTGGTAATGACGTATAGCAATCACAGCAGAAGCAGTTGTTCCCTTCATGGAGCGGGCCACCTTGTCTCAGGAACCTCCCCAGAAGAACACTGCGCAGCGGTGAGCGCGCCAAGGCACCACCCCGAGCGAGCCGGCCCGCCGCGCTGACCTCTAAACGGCCACGCCGAGTGAAGCGTTACCCCTGCCGGCCCGCCTTGCCCGCAGGGAGGACAGCCTGCGCGAGCCACCGGCCGTCGATGAAGGTGAACCGACTGCCGCCGATCCCCGACGACGAAGGCCAATTGATTCGGGTCCTGTTCAATTATCTGATGGAGCCCAGCGCCTATACCTGCTCTCGGGACCCTAGCTCTGGGCGGAGATCCGGTGAGTGCAGCCCGAACTCGAGATCGATTACAGCCGAAGACGTGGACAGTTTGTGCGTTGGGTTCTTGGACATTCGTGATTATTAAGCGATTTATTAAGCGACGAGCTCCAATTTCGCTGACAATGCTATAGGTGGTCTATTATGGCACGAGAGCATCGAAGGATAGAGTGCATTTGAGCTCGGAACGTAGGCTACAAACAAGCAGGCGTGGGTGGCGTAACTTCACGTATACGATAGCATGAGTAATAACGTTATGCAACGAATAACTCCCGTTGCCCGCTATGTGAAGTCTGTGCAGTGGCACTTGTACGTTGCAGTGATACGATCTGCAAGACAAAATATGCAGCTTTACATCAGGAGGGACTTCCCAACGAATGCAATGCACAGCCTATGATCGTAGATCGTTCTGATCGTGCGAAAACGAAGTAATAATATGCTGATTGGAAAGTCCGGCACCAATTTTGTAAGCAATCCACCATAAGGCTAAGACGCGATAGTTCACTGTTATTTGACAGCATGCTTCGCAATCTAGAGAACGGCAAAAGGCGTGGCCATTTGGTGCCCTTGCACCGGTGCCTGGTGCGACTTCAGCGGTTGACGGCTGTAGGACGTGTTGCAGGTGCCACGAGGCGACAACACCTCCGTACTGCGGGGCGGCAACACGCGTGCTTCGACCCCGAGTTTGCGCTGGCCGGCGCCCGGTGCCTGGTGTACTCGGTGCGCGAGGCGGCCGACGCCTCGTTCGACAAAGCCGCCGAGGCGTTCGGCTGTGAAGTGCACTCGTTCGGGCCGGACAGAGCGGCCGCCGGGGCCCGTGCACCACCACACGATGGCCGTGCGCCACGCCGCCGCACGCCTCGACGAGTTGGTGCGCCAGCTCAGTCACGACCGGCGCCAGCTGGCGCTGGCGCTGACGCTGGACGAGCCGGCGCTGACGCGGCTGCTGGACGAGGCGCCGCGCACGCTGGCCGAGAACGTGCGCCAGCTGGCCTGCGGCTGGACCTGAGCGAGGAGATGGCGGCCGGAGGCGGCGTGCCGCGCCTGCGCCGTCTGTACCAAAGCCTGCTTCGCCTACAGGAGCTCGGCTTCTATCCAGTTCGTGCAGGACATCCTCGATTGGTATCGACATCGAGGAATACAAGCTGCCCGGACTGGAAGCCCCCCATACCTGACAGGTTCGAGGTGGGCCTGGGTCAAGACCCACTGCCTCTAGGGTCGTGGGCGCGGATGTCCAGACTCCAGGCGCGGGTTTTTACATGCGGGATGGTACGCGGCGTGGCATATGAATTTCACGTCAGTTCAGCGGCAGCCCCTGCCAGCGCCGAGCGTTCGTTGTGCATGTGCCGTTTGTCTATGCCTCACGGACGGATTACTCTTCGGCGGAACGCCGGGCCCGAGTGTGTGACAAGGCGGAGCGTGCAGTGCTGGATCAAGCCGGGGGAAGTGGCACGCGCTAGTGATTGATGTTGCGGCGTAAGGCTTTGTTCAATTAGCATCAATGCGGTGAAGGAATGTGTTGGCCACAGCCTGCCTACGAACATCCTCATCGCCATAAAACAACTGCTTGTTAATATCAGTAATCTCTGTTTGTTAATATCAGCTAACAGCGTGCCTGTGTAAGTGATGATGAGAAGGCTGGCGACAACCGATGAGTCGCACCCACACCCGCAGTTACCCTTCGCGAAATCCTGAACCTGTCCGGACACGCGTGATGCGTCAGTCCATGCGACAAACACACGGCCATCTTAAATCCCGGCCGTTGCGCCGACACACCGCGACTCTGCCGGGACCAGTGTGTCTGCCTCAAGACACCCCGGCCACGGTGCTTGGCGCCTTGGCGCTGTCTCTCGTGCCTTCACTGAGCGGCACTTTTGCGACTACCAACCAATCATTTTCAGGTCATCCTGGCGTCTACCTTCTTGCGCCCGCGTCGTCACCTTTCCGCCTACCATCGTTGGCCACGCAACCGCGGCCTGCCAGGGGAGGGGGGGGGGGGGGGGGGTGCAGACGGATCGCACATATACACCGGTCTAAATACACGCCAGATCATGCCGTATATTATTACACTGAATCCAGGGATGTCCGACCACGCACACGACCGGAGCACGGGCGGCCGGCCGGGGACACGGCGTGCCGACAGACGACGCGCGTCAACAAACACAGAGGACACCTGAGACGTTCTAGAGACGCGCGAGGACCACACCGAGAGGCGGCTCGCCTCACAGAGGCACGTTGCCGCTGCCGCCGCCGCCGCCAGAGGCGCAGTGCACCGACCCGGCGGCGGCCGAAGCCGCCTGCCCGACATAATGTCACGGCTAGCAAACACAACCGAAACCGATCAGTACGGGTCCGCGTTCATACCTCATGGATGCCGGATGGTGAGAAATATTCAAAAAGAAAGACGAGCCTCATTACACGTTCGCATGATGCAAGCGATGTGTGCACCAGAGCGCACGGTGGAGACACGATCACAATCACGCTGTGCCCATTCACCCTCCTGACATAAATGCCATCTAGCCATACCACACACCATTAACACGTCCAAAGCAACGCTAACACTTTGCAAGACTAGAAATAACAAGTGTTCAAGCCACATCAAAGCACAGAGTGCAGAAACAGCCCTTTGGCAACGATTAAAATATGGGTAAAGTACCTAGGTCCCGTGGAAACAAGTGAATGTCGGCTGCCGGACGGGGCGCAGCGTCAGTGCCTCGCCGGGTGCCACTATACACAGTGCGACCGGCCCGTCTACTGCGGCCGACGGAAGGCGGGCTCGCCGGCCGGGCCCGCCATCTGCAGCGCGTAGTCGGCCGCCGCCGCCGCCGCCGTCGCCTCGCTGTGGTACGGCTCGAACCGCTGCTGTGGCAGGCCGAACCCGGCCGAGAACGGCGGCGCCCCGAATGCCTGGTAGCCGGCCGGGTACCGGTACGGCGCATAGCCCGCCATGGGCGCGCCGTACAGGCCGTAGCCGGGGTAGGAGGCGGGCACGGCGGGCGCGCCGTAGCCGGCCGCCGCCGGCTGGCTGTGGGCCGGGTACCCGCCCATGCTGTAGGGCGGGTAGCCGGAGTAGCCGTACTGCTGACCCAGCTCGCCCCACGAGAACGCGTCGTCGGCCAGCCGGGAGGCGGCCGGCGCGGCCGGCTCCATCGGCAGCGATGGCGGCTCGCGCGGCGCCGGCGTCGGCAGCGGCGCCGGCGTCGGTAGCGGCGCCGGCTCGGTCGAGCCGCCCGACACGCTCGAAAACGAGGGCAGCGGCAGCTGCGACACGGTCGAGAACGACGGCAGCGGCGCGCTGCCGCCGCCCGGGAACGCCGGAATCTGCGCCGGCGCGCTGTACGCCGGCCGGCTCAAGTCGAAGCCCGCGATCAGGTCGTCGATGCCGCCCATCTGCGCCGGCGGCTGCGGTGGCGCCAGCTGGTGGCTCTGCTGGCTCTGCTGCTGCACCGACTGCGGCGGCAGCAGCTGTTGTTGTTGCTGCTGCTGCTGCTGGTGCTGCTGCTTGCGGTGCTGGCCCCTCGGGCGGTGGCCGGGCGGGCCCGTCTCGCGCTGACCGCCGCCGAACGGGTGGTCGGCGGGCCGGGCGCGCGCCGCCTGCAGCGCCGACTGGTGGCCGAACTGCGGCGCCGACGGCGGCCCGTAGCGCGGCGGCTCGGAGAACGACGGCCCCGGCTGCTGGCCGTGCACGGACAGATCGTGCGGCTGGCCCAGCAGGTGGCCCTGCTGCAGCCCCAGCCGCTGGTCCAGCCGCGCCATGGCCGACGGCGGCGCCTCCGGCTCCATGACGGGGCCGGCCAGCTGCTGGTCCAGCCGGCCGCCCAACGCCAGCTGGCCGTGCGGCGGCTGCTCCGGCTGCTGGACGGACAGGTGCTGCTGCGACAGGCGCGACGCCTGCAGCTCGAGCGACTGGTCGCTGGTTTCCGGCCCCGGCCGCTTACTCAAGCCAGGTTTGTGACTCAGGTCGAAAATGTGAGTGTCCATAAGCTCGCTGTCCGTTTGCTGGTTGCTCGGCTTGCCGACCGCCTCCTCGGCCAGCACCTGACCCTGCTGCCCGTACAAAAGCTGCTGTTGGTGCAGGCGTTGCTGCTGTTGCCGCTCCTGGTGCTGGCGATGCTGCTCCTGCTGTTGCTGCTGAAGTCGATCCTGTGACTGCTGCAGATGCTGCTCCTGCTGCAGCTGCCGTTGTTGTTCTTGCTGCATCTGCAGCTGCTCCTGCTGTTTTTGCTGTTGTTCCTGCTGCTGCTGCGGCTGCGCAGACATCGCCTTGTCATCGGGTGGCGGCCGCTGCGCCGGTGCGTCTCCACTCGCAGCGGCCGCCATGCTCTGCAACCGCGCCAGCGGGTCAGACGGCGGCTCGTCCCGCGCCGGCTCGGCGTCGCCCGCCGCCTCCTCCGGCCCGGCCAGCGCCCGGTCCAGGTACTGGAGCGCCGCGCCGGCCGCCGACTCGGCCGGCGAGCCGGGCTCGGCCGACGACGGCCGCTCGGCCGAGGGCGCGGTCGCCGCCGGCGCCGCCGGCTCCGGCTTGGCGAGCAGCGAGGAGATGCTGAGAGAGCCGTCGCCGCCGTCCGAGTCGGAGCGCGGCGCCGAGCGGCTGACGGCGGCGCGCGGCAGGGGCAGCGGTGCGGCGCGGCGCGTCCAGGCCGCCCCGCCGCCGCCGGGCGCCGCTCGCGCCTGGCCACCGCCGCCGGCCGGCACCCGCTCGACGGTTGATGCCGCGCGGCAGCCGGATGCCCGACGGCCCCGGCTGGCTGGCCGCCGACGGCTGCGGCTGCGGCGCCCGCGACTGGATAGCGGTTCGAGTTGAGCAGGTCCGGCACGCTCCGGCCCTCTGGCGGAGGCAGACAGCCGCGTGAGCTGGCGCTGAGCGAACACGACGACCGGCAGGTGGCGCAGACAGCAGACCGAGAGGGCCCAAATACGGCAACGGCAACATGCACAACGATCAAGCTAACGCGAACCGGGAGAAGAACAAACACGTCCCGAGGCCACTTAAAACTATAACACACATTCACTTTTACCCGACGCAAACGCAGCGAGACGAGCCAACGTCCGGCTGCGGCGAGCGCGGCAGCGCGTCCGTCCAGCCTACAAGCCACCCACCTGCGCCGGGCGGCATGCGGATGGCGATGATGCGGCCGTCCTGCAGGCGCAGGTAGACGCCCTTGGCCGTGCGGATGACGAGCACCGTCTGGCCGGCGCGCAGGTGGATGGGCTCGCCGTCACCGGAGCCCGTCGGTATGGTCACATCTGCGGCGGAGGGAGCGGCGCACGTCAGCACGCGCCAGGTCACGGCCGGATCGCGCGCCGACGCGAGACCAGACTCTCCGCAATGCTGGCACCAGCATAGCACAAACACCCGTTTTAGCTGCCTTTGGTGCGTGCCAAGAGCCGACAAGGCTTCGCTGGTGCCGAAACCAGAGGCAGCCTTCAGTGTCCGTCGTGACTGCCACGGTAGCCATGTGACGCGACGTCACGGCAGAGCTCTGACACTCGGCCAAAACGCCGCTCTAGAGCCAGCCATCCGTACTGGTCTGGTGCCGTCTGCGGTGCTATGGCACAGACACACGCGCATCTCCCGGGTTTGACGTTCTGTACGGGTCGGCTCTCCGCTCTCCGCTGCTCTATGTACTGTAACGAGCCGGCCTGACCCGAACGTTCCCCTCACGGAGCCGCCCACAGAGACGCAGTCGGAACGAGGCCCCTGGCCGCCTAATCGCGGGAAGCTGACCACAGAAGCGGCACAGGGCATCAAACACATTCAGCTGCTTGTCCAGATCGAGCAAGTGGCCCCCCCCCCCCTCCCCCCGTCCGGGCCGCCGTCCCAGCGGCGCTGGCGCCGGGCGGCTGGCCCGGGCGCGCTTGCCCGGGCGGTAGCGCCTCCCGTCTGCTCACCTTTGGGCACGGTGATGTGCGACATGGAGACGCCCTGGCGGGTCAGCTGCTCCGTGGAGAGCCGGGACGGGCCAAACTGGCCCACGCCCGGCCGCTGCACCATCCGGCCGCCCACCATCATCGGACGCACGTTCGCCACCGGCTTGTTGTACATTCCCCTGCCGAGCAGACGCGTTGGTGACGATAGGTCGCGCGGCAGCAGCCGCCCGACCAACACGGAAGGCCGGGTGGATCGCTGGCACTTGTGAATTTGAATGTTAGGGTCAAGATGCTGCTGGGTTTTTTTTAGACCAGAGGGGGGGGGGGGACCGGGCGGGGGCAGGGCAGGGTGAGCAGGGCAGGGCAGGGCAGGCTGTTACATGAGCTAGACATGTTGGTCCTGTTTCGGTATCACACGGTTGTTAAGTCCAACTTCAAGCAGTCTGACTAGTGCTCGGCACCGTCACCTGGTGAACACCCACAGCTAGTATAAGGTCACTGTTACAGTTACTCCAATGGTAGTCAAAGGACTTCTTTGCGCCTGTCGAAAATTTGCCTTCACCGAAGTGGTGACCATACTTCAGTAAACTTCAGATATTTGTTCACCGTTGCATTGGTTCGGCCCGTCAATCCACACCAGTCATGTCTGGCACATACCCGCGCTTAACAACCACAAAACAACTGGATCATACAAAAAATGGTCTCGACTGTAAAGACCACTCTCCCTTAGAATGTTCTCAAAATAATGAGTACCCACAAAACCATCACAAGCAATCGCATACCATTTCTCCCTCCGTAGATCATCACCATCATGCAAACACACGTCAGCCCTGTGAGGTCCAAAACGCTCGGCCTACGTTCAAGAAGAAAAAACAACATAGGAGCTAACTTCTTGAGTCACAGCGGACTATCAGAGCCGGTGCGAACAGCCGGAAGTTACAATCAATCGCATACCATTTCTCCGTCAAAGATCATATCACCATCATGCAAACACACGTCAGCCCTGTGAGGTCCAAAACGCATCGGCCTACGTTCAAGAAGAAAAAAACAACACAGGAGCTAGCTTCTTGAGTCACGGCGGACTATCAGAGCCGGCGTGAATCGAACGCCGCTCAGGAGAGCGTGCCTCACGAATACGCGGACGGCCGCACAAGTGACGCCCTTGGCGTAAAGACGCGCTGGACATGGCGCTCGCGCCCGGGTAACGACATTGACTATTTGCTGCGTCTAGCCACGATCCACTGGCCAACCAGTCAATCAATGGGATCATCAATGGAAATAGCGATCAATGTCCGTGGTGATTGGTTTTAGAATCCAGCGTGAATGCGCCCCACATCAAATCGTCCTGTCTCTGACATGGACATGGGCAAAGAGCCGGCCCCTGGCTGGGGTGACACGTTCAGTCGCCCCAACACGCCGCGACACTGACCTGTACATGGGCAGCGAGCCGGGCCCCTGGACGGGGGTGGTAGGCCTGGTAGTTGGGCCGGTTGTAGCCGCCCGTGTGGCCGCCTTCTTCTCGAGCTCGTAGCTGCGCTTGGCCAGTCGCTTCTCTGCCTGAGTCAGCCGCTTGTCCTGTCGGTCCTCACCAGCTGGGCGTCGTGCTCGAACGGCTCCTGCCGACCGCCGCGGGGGAGCGCCCGTCAGCACATGCGTCCTCCGCACGCGCGGCAGGAGATACCGCAGACAGGAAAAAAAGAGTACCAAAGCAGCGCACGCATGCCATCCAGCGGCACACTACTCACAAACCGAGCCGCACAATGGCACGCACGTGCTGCATCACGCAGGGCTAGTGGCTCATACCGTGAAGCACAATGTGGCGGCAAGCTGGGTCACCCAATGTAGGACGAGGGTCAGGGGTCGCGTCCCACCGGGACAGTACGTGTGTATCGGCCGACCAACACTGGCCACTTGTCGTCGCGTGGCGTAACATCGCAGGGCGGAAAGGACCTAAAAGTAGCCAAAACCACGCGCACTTACAAAATCACGCGACGAAAAACCCAATCTAGTTGACATGGCAGACAATGGCGTGTTTCGCGTGATTCGCTCCGATGAGCGGAAATTGTTGACTGAAATGCGAGCGCTAATCTACCAAAGGGCGGCGCTACCTCCCCGTCTCGCACGAAGGCGGCAGTGTGGAGCGCGTTGCGGAATCTTATCGGTTCCAACAATTACGCTACTTTTCGTTTTTCCGCCTTGCACTGCATCACAACACTGCGCAGGAAAAAGTCGCCAGCAATCAAGCATACGCGGTGACGTATGGCAATCTGTAACCTTTTAGAAAGCAGAATGTAAACGTTGTAACGTTACCAAACCCGTAAATTCGATTCCAATCGGATCGAACCCACACCCTTACACGCGTATAGCAAAACGACCCACGCTCAGCCTCCGGCAAGGTCATTCATGCCACCTAATTCCGACGACCCGTATGAACCTACCAGAAACCTGACCCAAGATCTTCCTCGACTCAAGCAGACGGATGCCAAAGCGATAACCTTTTTAGCGGGCATCCCTTTCCAGAGCACCATTACCCATAAACTTGCTTCCGCCCGGGGTTCGAACCGGGGACCTTCCGCGGGTAAAGGCGACGTGATAACCACTACACTACAGAAGCACGGCATGCGCCTGGAAGCCCCTGCATTGCAGACATACGGCGGCCGGGTGCGCGCGCGCGCGGAGTCCCACCTGTGGAGAACAGGTGGCCAAGCCGCTCGATGACGGTGAGCAGAACCGGGTCGTCTTACTTGTCCGGATCGGGCGAGGATGGCGGCCGGCGGCGGGTCATCCATCCTATTTGGGTCCCACAGCCGGTTCAGGTCTGCGTGGTGACCTGCAGGTTGGGCCAGCAGCGTCTCAGTCGGGCGTGCAGCACTCCGCGGGGGTTCGTGGCGGCTCCGGCATCTGACCCGGGTCACGCGTGTACGGTGGAGACCGGACTGTAGCCGAGTCGGTCGCTCCAGATTGGGCGTGTCAGGCTTTCAAAAGCAGGCTGCAGGATGTGAACTTTTTACCACACAGAGTCAAGACCTGAGGACCTCCTGTCCTACACGTACAGAATGCCGCTCAAAACCGCGTACAAGTACGACACCCTCCAAACGCACCACGCCTCAGCTAGTGACTGTTTCCTAACTGTGTCAGCATTCACTCCCAAGTACAACACTCCCCAAACACACCATGCCACCTCTGCTGACCATTCCTGACTGTGTCTGCGTTCACTCCCCATCTACACTGCAGACGACACGTGCAGCCGCACTGCACTGCCGACTTGTCCCCGTCGGCGAGCACCTGTCTCGAGCATCTGTGACTGGATAGGCCCAGGCTGGAGGCCGGCGCCGGCCGGCAGCGTACCATGTTATCCGGGTTGGTCTCGTCGACGATCCTGTTGGACATGGACTGCTTCTTGAGCTGGCGGTCGTAGATGCGCCGCTCGAGGCAGTTGTCCGTCACCAGCCGGTAGATGAAGCACTGCTTCTGCTGGCCGAACCTGGCGGCGGGGAGGGGCGACAGAGGTCAGGGCGGCACCCGGCGGCGGCGGCCACTTCAGACGAGCGGAGCGAACACGCGCGGACCCGAGCGGCAGCCCGCGTGTCTCCACACGACACTGGCCGGCTGCCCTCGGAAAGACACTCCGCCGTGACGTCCCTGGTATGCTACTGTCGAAGACCACAAACACATACCACAACTGGGGAAGTATGCTTGCAAATGCAAACAATTACAAGCAGACACATAGAGAGGTCCGAGTTACGTGAATGAGAGAGGAATTTATCAGGCATTCACCACCAGAACGAAGACAGAACGCACGAATAACCAAGCCAATTCCATCTTGACAAATCCCAAGTCCAACAGCTTCCAAAGGTATTTGAGTCGACATATTCAGACCACAGCCAACAGCGCGATCTTGCAGCCTCACACCCAGCCCGCGGCCACCTGCAGCCCAATAGCCAGGCCCGCGGGCTACATGCAGCCCCACAGCCAGCCCGCGGGCTACACGCAACCCCACAGCCAGCCCCGCGGGTCACACGCAGCCCCCCGCAGGTCACAACGCAGCCCCACAGCCAGCCCGAGACCGCCCCTGACCTGTAGACCCTGCAGACGGCCTGCGTGTCGTGGCAGGGGTTCCAGGAGGCGTCAAACACCAGCACGCGGTTGGCGCCCACCAGGTTGACACCCAGGCTGCCGGCGCGCGTCGACACGAGGAACAGCGGCACGGCCGGGTTGGCGTTGAACTCGCTGATGAGCTTCTCGCGCTCCAGGCCGGTGGTGGAGCCGTCCAGACCTGGCCATCACACCGCACGGATAAGCACGCCCGCCCGCTGGCCACGGCGGAGCGGTATGGCAGCGGCGGCGGCGGATGAAGATGGCGATACACCGGTCACAGCGGGGACGGTGGGAGCGCCCAGGCCCGCCAGGCACGCGGCAATCCGAACCCAACGAGCAGAGCGGCGCTGATGAAGCCGGAGAGGACTGCGGAGCGCACAACAAACTCGGCCGCGCCTAGCAGGACGTCCGTGAAGCCGTCAAAACCTGCAACCAGTGATGCGGAGGCGACCGGAGACGCAGGGCACAAGAATACACAACGGAGAGGCGTACACTGTGGGTAAATCACCCATCAGGAGCTGTCGTCGCGTCATGGCAAGGCAGCCCCACGATACAGATGCCGCCAACGTAAACTGGCACCTTCGGAGAGCCAAACGTGGCACGCGGAACATACGGCGACACTGCTGTGAAGCTATGGGACACCTACCATTGCCAAGGCCGGCACCATTGACTCTGACTCCTTGATTTTCAAAGCAGATGAGTGCAGCGGGAGAGAGGCAGTGGCCGAGGCCAGGCGAGCGGCCGGCGGCGTCCGTCCGCCCGACTCACGGAAGTAGGTGTGGTTCAGCATCCACTTGTCATTGCGGCCCGGCACCAGCGTCTGCTGCAGAACTCCTCGATGATGTTTGAGCGTGAACAGGGACTGGCTGAACAGCAGCATCTTGTCGCCCTGCCGGACCGTCTCCTCCAGCAGCACTTTGAAACACCATCATCTTGGTGGAGTTCTCTATCTGGCCGGGAATGTAGCCCTGCATCATATCCTGGGCCTGCAAACCGCACGAATTCAGTCACTCATTTGGCAGTTCAGGGCCCAACAGAGCCATAGCCAGAACGCAACAGTTCGGAAAGATAATAAAAAACT